AAAGGACCATGCACCATCGGGTCAAGTACATACCAAAATAGTTATGGACTTAGACACTAATCCAACATATAAGGCATATTATAGCTATAACATAAATCATCATATAAAAGTAATTTAGGCATCTTCCTAATTATAGCTATAACATAAATCATCATATTATAGCTATAACATAAATCATCGTATAAACGTGAGACTATTGTGTGTTTTTCAGTTTTTGTGTAATCACATTTTATCTAATTTTGTTATGTATTTCAATCAACTTATGATTTTAACTTATGATTTTGACATATATAATTTCCCTTAAATATTTTTACATGAATTTCCAAATTCGAGTACTCCTCAAGTACTCGCTACTCGGCAGTCGGCCGAACAAATACCAAATAGCTAGTTCTACAACCTTGGTAACAATTTTAAAACATTTACATTATATTTTTTTGTTTATTTTTATTTTCTACGTAATATTTCCTTTTTATTTTTTAAAAGACCTCACTGTTACATATTTAATTTTATTGTTAGATATTATTTACTTTAAAAATATTACATATGCTTAAATAATAAAAGAAAAAAAAGATGATATATAAAATGTTTCAAAAAAATAAAAATATATTTATTAATTAAAAAGTAAGTTTAGAATTGATCAATGATTAATTAATATTTATGATAGTAAGTTTTTGCTAAAAATAAATTAGAAGAAAATTGATTTGTCAAATCAAAAGGGTATAAATGAAATAAATAATCACTCATTTTCGATGCTTTAAAAATAAAACTTGATAATACAAACAAATATGAAAAATAAAATTTCTATTAAAGGGGGATTGGGTGGGGGGGGGGATGACGTTACCATGGTAATCACATTTTCCTCTTGTTCACATTTAAGCAGTTTCTGTTTTTTTACACATTTGATCATTTAACTTGTTTAATGTGTTCACTTATTACTATTGTTACCTGAAATGGCCGATAAAAATGGTAATATGTGAATACATTTAGAAAGTTAAATGGTTAGATATGTACAAAAAAAAAGTTACCTAAATATGAACAAAACGAAAATATGATAACCCTGGTAAGTCATTTTCCCTTCTGTTTTAGTTACCAACTATAACATTATACTTTAAAATATACCTTAAGCTAGCTATAACTATGTACTTTCAAAATTCAACATACTAAGACGTATTTCTTATAATACGACATTGTATATTTTTTTCATAATTCTCTAAAGCTTTAACATGGAGAAAGATTAAGAATTTGAAATCACACATAATTTGTTCAAACTTTAAAGTTGTAATGGGTGTTCAAGAAACTGCATACCAAAAAACTTCAAGAAATAAGCTACTTAAATATATCAAAATTTAATTGAAAATTCTTAGCATTTCATTTATATACTTGAATTTCATGACTTTGAAAATACATACACAAAATACACCGCCATAACATCTATAAATAAAAAATATAAACAGTTGAATCGGATAAAAGTAATGAGCTATTTGGTAGCATGTGGATGATTCATATTTGTATGATACAGAAGCTTGGATGAAGAAGAAGATCTTTATGAATCTGTATCTGAACGATAAATTGATGTTTGTTTAGGCATCTAAATCCATGCCTCTTAATGAGAAAAATGACCAGTTTAACACTCTAAACTAACTTTCACATACAAATTAAACATAATAAAACATCCAAATTAGACAACATCCAAAATGTAGGTACATCTAAAATAACACAACTAAATTCTCATGAAAATAAGTCAAATCCAAATTCAAAAAATATCTTACATAATTATATCATAAAAAGTTGAAGAATGAAAAAAAAACTTTTTATAATCATGTACGGTGAGCAAAAACTTTGATTGTAATACATCAATGACAAATTTTGTCTCTTGTTAAATCCTCCTCATGTTCCTTCCATCGGATTCAATTGGAACCCACACCCTAAAACTAGTCAAAACCATAGAGATTAAAGAAGCAAAATGATCCGATTCTAAATTAATTGTTGTCCAACAGCCAACTTCAATCAAAATTACAAAATCCCATAAGAAAAGAACAACACCAATCAAAAGGGTTTTGCAAGAGAGAACAAAATAAATTAGAACCGAATCAAATGAAAAAAATCGAGCATACACCAACTCAACAAAATGGTGAAGAACAACAAGAACAACAATTCAAACATTAATTTTGTACAAAATCAAGCAACAAGAACACAATTCAAACATCTATTTCGAGCCAAAAAACAAATCAGAAAAACTTACCAGCAAAGGGCGAGCAGGCGAGGGGGACATGACGAAGGCGGAGCCGGAGCAGCGCTGCCAGAGACTAGCAGGAGGAGGCGGCGATGAAGCCGGAGGCTTACAGGGAAGTTGTTGGCGCTTGAAGAAGAGGGAGAATGAGGGATGAGTGCTCGACGACAGGAAGAGGGGAAAAGAAAACAAATGCTAACGCTTTTTTTTAGGTAAGGGTATTACATGGAATTTTTTCGCCCAGACTTCTCAATATCTCTTCCCGATGCAGACCATTTTTGCCTACATATGACCGATTAAGATGCTAAAAAAGTTTAAATTAAACACTCTGAATTTGAAAGATCCTAAGCCAACCTCTTTAAGGGATTATTAAGAGGTCAAACAAACAGCCCATTAATATTGATTTTGTTTGGATCGACAAATTCATATTTTGTTTTTTGTTTTTTTTTTATAATATTGAAAACAATCGGTTTGTTAGACCAGGGGGAGTGGGTGCGGTTTTACCCACAGTTCCGCCACATCATCACCCAAAACATCGTCCCCTCCCTGCTATAGGAACCACACTTTCTCTCTCTTCATCCAAATAGTGTCGCACTCCGCCTACTCTTTATCTTCTCTCTTTAACTGTTTCTCTCTCTCCTCCTCCTTAAGTATATCACACCTAGTGTGTGGCAAAAAACCACACTTTGTGTGGTAAAATTAACATGACACTTATGTGGCGTCTATGTGGTAAAGAAGGAAGTGCAGTTCTTGTAACACCACTCCCTCCAGCCTTAAATGTAATTGTAAAATCAATCTCTTAGATTGGATAGATTGGTGCCACAAGAACAGCACTCCCTCTTCTGCCACATGGACGCCTAATAAGCGTCATGTAAGTTTACCACCCAAAGTATGAGTTTTTGCCACACACTAGTTGTCGTATACCAAAGGCGGAGAAAAGAGAGAAGATAAAGAGTAGAAAGAGTGTGACACTGTTTGGGTGAAGAGAGAGAAAGTGTTGTTCCTACCGTAGGGAGGGAACGTTATTTTGGGTGACGATGTGGCGGAAGCGTGGTTGAAACCGCATCCACCCAATGATCTTAAAATAATAATAGTTTAAATTTTAAAGATTTTTTTTTCTCAACCTGTCAATCGGTTTATGGGGTACGCGCTCCGGTTGAAGCTTGCTTCGTTCTCCGCCGGTGCTGCGGTGGCGTCGGCATTTGGATTGTACTTTATGCACCATGATTACATTCTCGTCCATCAGTCTATGTCTCAACAGGTACTTTCTTCGATCTGCATCATCTTCTTTCCATTTTTTTAATCATCTCGATTCCTATCTTATTGATTTATTTGCCTCCCTGTAAGTTGTTATTTTGTCCTAAGCTCCTCTTATAACATTGAAATTTCAGTATATGATCTTAGGTGGCGTTGTTGCATAATTGCAATGAATAATGGTCAAACATATAACCCTCGATTTCTGATAATTAAGCAAGATAACCTAAAATGTCGATTTGGGAACCCTTATTTTTCCTTGATGTGAACTATACTTCTTATGTGATGTATTTCACTTGATCTTTCACCTACAATAATGTCAGCATAGCTATCCCTTGATCTTTCACTTACAATAATGTCGATTTGGGAACCCTTATTTTCCCTTGGTCACTTGATGTGAACTATACTTCTATGTAAAACTTTCTTCTTTATTTAAAAAATATATAATAAATAATTTTATTTAAAACTTATGGTGTAAAGTGTCGAAAATGAAATAATTTCACAGCTTGCGTTATGGGATTGGGGTAGTGTTGTTGGGAGTGGGTTAGAACTGTTTTGTTCTTATTTTAGGTTTAATGGTTTTGGACTTTTTGTAATGAAACAGATTCTAATCATAGGATCTTCAATCTTGTTATAAAATATAAGAATAGGATCATGTTAATTTCAAATAGATCAAATGTAAGTGGATTTCCATCCCCATTTCTATGGGGCTGAAAGAACCATTTGAATGAGAGATTGAGGATAAATCACAATTTGTCTCTGTTTGTTTCAAGGGCATTTTGGGCACACAACTAAATCATTTCTCTTGAAGCCATCACCAATATGGGATTCAACAAGTAGTTTTATTGGGGATTTGGGATTCCATGTTACACTTCATAGTCATCTTTAAAGGTAGAAATTAAATAGAAGTACAGTAGCTATAGTAAAGTAGAGATTGAGGGGTATTTTGGTCATTCTCGTAGATAGATCAGTCTAATTGAGAGTATTAATAGGAGATCGATGTTAGTGTACATCATTCCATTAGCACCTAGATGATATATCATAGCAGGAGACAAGAGGAAGGGGAGTCGTATCATCTATTTTTGGCTTTGTCAATGCTTCCAGTCAATGGGATGTGTTTGGACTTTGGAGTGACACATCTGTGATCCATTTAACAAACAAATATTTATAGGAAAGTTGAAGAAGGATATTTATGTCTTTTTGCATAAATACATTCCAAATCCTTAGATATTGTTGTTTTTGTAAGTGGATCTAAAAGTTTATCATTTTTGTATCGAATGAACCATTTAAGCGAGAAATTAAGTGTAAATCACAAGTTAAATACTAAAATATAAAATGTGTAATATAAATAATAATACACATGCGATTATATTTAATCACAACATAATCTTTAATAAGAATGATAACTTTTAGATTATTTATTCCTCATTCTAAATGAACCCTAGTATTTGTCTTGTGTAGATTAATGAAGAATACAAGGCTTTGGATAGACACGTCTCTTCACTGGAAAACTCAAAACGAGAAGTAACTAAGCAAGTCGAAACTTCAGATAAGACATGACAGAACATGTTGTACTGTGTCTGATATGCTGACATGTATTGTACTGTGGTTGACACTGATATCCATGGAAAATATCATCGTTTTGTCCTTTGTAACAAGTGTTGTCTTTCCATTAGGTCAAGTTTGCTATCTGTGAAAAGAAATACGAAATACGAAACCCAAAAAGAGGCCACGAGTTAATTTTAAATATTATAATGTGGTTGTGGATAACTAGATATGCATGTTTTTTGGGTGGAGATTGTATAATGTTTTTTGTGTCTTTATGTTTATTTGCCCATAGGAAGTGAGATTGTATAATGAATGAAATGGATAGGTTCATAGAATTGTAAATTGTTGACCCGTGACTTGCAGTTTGCTTATACAAGACAAATTCCAAATCATTTTCAAAGTAATTCCTACAATTACGCCAAACAATTCCTTCTACCAACGTAAATCATGCCATTTAAACATACTTCATCTTCACTGTTACCTTCATTTAAATATGTACTTTCTTATTGTATTTAATATGTGTCACAGACTTTCGTTTTTATTAATTTCTTAGTACAATAACTTTTGGGTCCACTATAACTGTTGTTTAGGGTTATAAACGTATTTTGATGAGTAAAGGAATATGTTAGTTAATGAAAGGTTAAAGGGTTAGTTGATAGGGATAGGGGTAGAAGGGGCACATCACATGCGACATGGAACCCGTGGTTAGATTAGATTACAGGTACTCCATATTCAGGGGCATATCTTTTTCCCCCCACACCTTCCTGCCAAAACAAGACTTTCAGCTTTTTACAATTTTTTGCGTACTACCATAATAGTGATAGTACCATACATGCCCATAATTATCGTTTTCAGCAAAAGGACACAACACTTTTGGTTAGGATTGATAATTAATGTGTTAATTACGGGTATCTTTGTTGATTATAATTTTGGTAGTTAGTAGTTGGAAGGTTTAGTTTTGACAAAAATATAAGTTTTTTGAAATGCTATTTGAATAGTAACTTTCGAATTAAAAGGTTTTTGTTCTAAACTTTAAGATCATAAATTCAAACACAAGTTTTTCTATAAGCTGAGGTTTTTTTTCTTCTAAAATTAAAAGTTGAAAATTCTTGCAAGATCGTTGCCAAACTCACCCTCTGTTTATAAATTATATTATAGAAAAACATAAAACAACCAAAATGCGTAAATACAGATTTTGGAATTGCCCACTAGCAAAAGAAAGTTATTATTTTAAATGTTTCAAGAATGGCGAAATACAGATTTATATATGGCGAAATACAAAATCTATATATTGTGAAATACATGATTTTCAATAAAAAAAAAATATTTTTTGAAATCTTTTTGGTGGGAACAATTCAAAAGGCCATAAAGTAATTTCACGGCAAAGTATTTTGCAATTTTGTGTAATAAATAAAAAAAAAATTTATTTTAACAAAACTTTCATTCATTTGGTCTTTCCGTAAATTTCTTATATGTTATTACAACAATAGTTTATGAGGTTTCTATGATTTATATATATCCATTTTGGCGATTTAAACTCATTATTTTTTAGCTACTTTTTTTATTTGATCGATTTGATTGATTAGAAGTAAAGTCTTACTCTAGTATTCATAAATAAAAAACAGAAGTTGAAATTGTCACACCACTAATTTTACACATGTCTTCTAACACCAATTCCACTATAATCCTAAAATTAATTATCGGTAGAATGGATAAAAGTCCTAATTTTTTTTTCCTTTGCTTAATTATCGGTACCAAGAATTCATGCCGTAGGGTGTTTTCAATAGACCAATCCTTGTTAAACCATGCACATGCGAGATTTGACTTCACAGTCTATTGGTTAATTAAATAGTATATGATAGATAATTTATTTACTAAAGCAGTAAAAAAGTATTAAAAAAAAAGTGAAAACTCAAATTTGGAAATATTTACTCTTTCTGAATTTGGGGATTAAGGTAAAAAAATACCATTTAACGTAAATCAAGGTGAAATTTAAGAAGAAATTGATGGTGAATAGTATTCCTTTTGTTTGTTGGCTTCACTACGAACCATCTTCACTCCATTTTTGCGCAGTTAAGCCCCCGTGATTTCACTCACTTAACTACCACCGGAAACCCACCTTCTATAAATCACCATTCACCACCTGCACGTCCCTTCACACACAAACATGGCTCCTCCTACATTGCTCATTCTTCTCCTTCTAACCTCTTCTTCTTTCGCTAACTCTGCTTTCACTTCTGATCATTACTCCGACGCCCTCACCAAATCCATCCTCTTCTTCGAAGGCCAAAGATCCGGCAGGTTACCTGCAACCCAACGTCTCAAATGGAGGGCTGATTCCGCCTTACACGACGGTTCTTCCGCCAATGTACCTTCACAGAACCATCAATCTATCGATGCTATTCAATCACCATTGTTTCCGGTAACTGTCCCTCATGTCGTTTTTCTGTTTTCAGGTGGACCTAGCCGGAGGTTATTATGATGCAGGTGATAACATGAAGTTTGGGCTCCCCATGGCGTTCACCACCACTATGCTTGCATGGAGTATCATCGAGTTTGGTGGGTTTATGCAATCGGAATTAGGGAATGCGAAAGCTGCCCTTCGTTGGGGATCCGATTATCTTCTGAAAGCAGCCACCGCCACCCCCGGCACCTTGTATGTACAGGTACGATCGAGCTGAGTCCGACTCCGAGTCTCCGACCACCATTTTTGTTCCATGCATGTTAGTGTACAAAGTTTACAAACCTCTTATTGTTCCCAAATTTGAAACAGGTGGGGGAAGCTAACTCCGATCACCAATGCTGGGAGAGGCCGGAAGATATGGACACATCACGAGGTGTCTACAAGGTGTCGGCTCAAAATCCGGGATCTGATGTGGCTGCAGAGACTGCTGCTGCACTGGCTGCGGCTTCCATTGTCTTTCAAGACTCCGAGCCTTCTTATTCACAAAAATTACTTCAAACAGCCATGAATGTACCAATCTATTCATCACAACTCTCTTAATTGATTTCTTAACATTGTCGAGATAATCATGTAAATCGGATATATCAGGTGTTCAAATTTGCAGACCACTATAGAGGCTCTTACAGCGACTCGCTGCATAATGCTGTTTGTCCATTTTACTGCTCGTATTCAGGATTCAATGTAAGATAACATGAAACGAATTAACGAAACCTGTTTGATTCTTGGAATTACTGTTCTTCAACCTGTTTAAATTTCTGGTTGTATTTAGGACGAGTTGCTGTGGGGAGCGGCATGGATACACAGAGCCTCTCAGGATACCAGTTACATGACTTACATTCAATCAAATGGTCACTTAATGGGTTCAGAAGACGATGATTTCTCCTTCAGTTGGGATGACAAAAGAGCAGGGACAAAAGTTCTTCTTTCCAAAAGCTTTCTCGAGAACAAAATCGAAGAATTTCAGTCGTATAAACAACATTCAGATAACTACATTTGTTCATTGATTCCAGGATCACAGAATTCCCAAGCACAATACACCCGAGGAGGTCTGTTCTACAAACAAGAAGGAAGCAATCTCCAGTACGTGACGACCTCCTCCTTCCTCTTGCTAACGTACGCCAAGTATCTTGACTCGAATGGTGGTCGTGCTTCTTGTGGGGCTTCAACGATCACGTCGGAGATGCTAATAGTACAAGCAAAGAAGCAGATTGACTACATATTGGGTGATAATCCAATGAAAATGTCGTACATGGTGGGGTTTGGTGATCGATACCCGACACACCTCCACCACCGGGGATCATCGGTACCCTCTGTTCGTGATCATCCTGATCGTATATCTTGTGATGCCGGACATCGGTACTTCAATTCTGGTTCACCCAATCCGAATATACTCGTTGGAGCGATTGTCGGAGGTCCAGATCGTAATGATAACTATGCAGATGATCGGAGCAATTATATTCAGTCGGAGCCGGCTACTTATATTAATGCTCCATTCGTTGGAGCTGCGGCGTTCTTCTCAGCACATTGAAATTAGGGTTTCATGTTAACCAAAGGATGTTTGAGGATTGAGAGATGCTAGTAATCAATCGCATGTATGATCCCATTTCCTTGGGTAGCCAATTTAATTAAAAAGCTTTTGCTCTACATTTTCAATCTTGATCCTCCAAAATATTGGGGTTTTACTTTAGGGTTAATTACTATAACGAACTAATCATTTTTTTTTTTTTTTGGAATGTATGATTAAATGGCAATTTTATTTCACAAAGTGGTATTTGCCAATTGTGAATTGTTATAATCCCACTATTCGAGCTAGGGGTGAAAGTTAGTCCAACTCGGTCCTAGATGGATCCGGAAACCGAAATTTAAAAATGAGTAACCCAAGAACCGCACCAGTACAAAGGAACCGGTTCTGAATATCATACTAAATTACTAATAGATAAAGTGGGTATAAAGCTGGTTGGAACCCAAATTTGTTATTTGTAACAGGTTCCGTTTAAACCTAAAAAACTTGGAATTTTGTCGTTTAAACTTTGGAAATGGTTTCGGGATTTCTTAGTTCAAATCACCTGAGCAAACTTGGAATTTTGTCGTTTAAACTTTGGAAATGGTTTCGGGATTTCTTAGTTCAAATCACCTGAGCAAGCTAGTGGGATTAGGATGGTCTATTTTGCCAAATGCAAAAGATTTCAAGATCTCTCTATGACAACCTTCCTTTCCTATTCTAATTCATTTTACCAATTTAAAACTCACTCTAGGTTTTTCAAATACAGAGCCTCTTAAATTCTTCATTATAACGTTTTCAAAGATAATTTTTTTTTCTTTATGTGATTGACTTTGATTGTTGCAAAGAAATTGATTGAAATAAATTTATTAGGCTTTGAGGTGAGGGTGTGGTTCCTACCACAATATGCCACTTAGATCGTTGCTAACACCATCTCGGGTCCATGGTATGGGCCGAGCTTGGTAAAACTTTGCCACAATCTCTCTCTCTCTCTCTCTCTCTCTCTCTCTCTCTCTCTCTCTCTCTCCCTTTTAATACGAAAGTTATTGTTTTTTTTAATTTCATTTTTTCTTTTTTATTTTAATAAATAAGACCTTGAATATCTATATTTACCACACCTCACTACATTTATTCTATCTCTCTGTAACTCTACTTCTATCTTTCTAGAATTAAAAGAATTTCTTCTTCAAACAACCAAAACAATCAAAAATATCTACAAAAAACACTCAAACACTTTTTTATGGGCAAATTTATTCGCCCCCTATTTAACACTATGATGGTATGTTATCGTATTATCCACAACAATAACGACAACCACAACCGCAAGTCCAATTTGA